AAAAAAAAAAAAAATGTAAAAGATATAAAACTTAATTTAAGTTAATTTAAGTTAAACAAAATGTTTATGTACGACGATTGCAAAAAAAAAAAAAATAATAAAATGATGTAAAAATATAATATATTCTAGGTACTTAATTTAAGTTAACATAAGTTAAACATAAAATGTTCAGACAAATTAAAAAAAAAAAAAAAATAATGTGAAAAAATATAAAATCTAATTTAATTAAATATAAGTTAAATATCAAATGTTCAGACAAAGTTCAAAAAAAAAAAAAAATAAAAATAATGTTAAAGATATAAAACCTAATTTAAGTTAATTTAAGTTAATCATAAAATGTTTATGCATAAGTTCAAAAAAGAAAAAAAATAATGTGAAAAAAGATATAACCTAATTTATATTAATTATAAGTTAAGCATTAAATGTTTATGCACAACTGCAAAAAAGAAAAAAAATAATGTAAAAATATTTAATCTACCTAATTTAAGTTAGTAATTATAAGTTAAATAAAAAATGTTCAGACACAAGTTCAAAAAAAAAAAAAAAATAATGTAAAAATATATAATCTAGGTACCTAATTTAAGTTAATATAAGTTAGTCATAAAATGTTATATTACATATAAGTTAAAAAATAATGTGAAAAAAGGTATAACCTAGTTTATATTAATTATAAGTTAAATATAAAATGTTCAGACACAAGTTCAAAAAAAAAAAAAAAATGTAAAAATATATAATCTAGGTACCTAATTTAAGTTAACATATTAAGTTAAACATAAAATGTTCAGACAAATTAAAAAAAAAAAAAATAATGTGAAAAATATAAAATCTAATTTAATTTAATATAGTTAAATATCAAATGTTTAGACAAAAGTTCAAAAATAATGTAAAAATATATAATCTAGGTACCTAATTTAAGTTAATATAAGTTAGTCATAAAATGTTATATTACATATAAGTTAAAAATAATGTGAAAAGTATAACGATTTATATTAATTATAAGTTAAATATAAAATGTTCAGACACAAGTTCAAAAATGTAAAATATATAATCTAGGTACTAATTTAAGTTAATATATTAGTTAAACATAAAATGTTCAGACAAATTAAAAATAATGTAAAAATATAAAATCTAATTTAATTTAATATAAGTTAAATATCAATGTTTAGACAAAGTTCAAAAATAAAATATGTAAAATATATAATCTAGGTACTAATTTAAGTTAATATAAGTTAGTCATAAAATGTTATATTACATATAAATGTTAAAAATAATGAAAAGGTATAACCTAGTTTATATTAATTATAAGTTAAATATAAAATGTTCAGACACAAGTTCAAAAAAAAAAAAAAATGTAAAAATATATAATCTAGGTACCTAATTTAAGTTAACATATTAAGTTAAACATAAAATGTTCAGACAAAAGTTCAAAAAAAAAAAAATAATGTAAAAGATATAAAATTTAATTTAAGTTAATCATAAAATGTTTATGCATAAGTTCAAAAAAGAAAAAAAAATAATGTGAAAAAAGATATAACCTAATTTATATTAATTTTAAGTTAAGCATTAAATGTTTATGCACAACTGCAAAAAAGAAAAAAAATAATGTAAAAATATTTAATCTACCTAATTTAAGTTAGTAATTATAAGTTAAATAAAAAATGTTCAGACACTAGTTTAAAAAAAAAAACAAAAATAATGTAAAAATATATAATCTAGGTACCTAATTTAAGTTAATATAAGTTAATCATAAAATGTTATATTACATATAAGTTAAAAAATAATGTGAAAGATATAAAACCTAATTTAAGTTAATTTAAGTTAATCATAAAATGTTTATGCACAAGTTCATAAAAGAAAAAAAAATAATGTAAAAATATATAATCTAGGTACCTAATTTAAGTTAACATAAGTTAAACATAAAATATTCAAGCAAATTAAAAAAAAAAATAATGTGAAAAAATATAAAATCTAATTTAATTTAATTTAAGTTAAACATAATGTTTATGTACGATTGCAAAAAAAAAAAAAAATAATAATAAAATGATGTAAAAATATAATATATTTTAGGTACTTAATTTAATTAAAAAAATAATGTAAAAGATATAAAATCTAATTTAAGTTAATTTAAGTTAATCATAAAATGTTTAAGCACTAGTATCTAAAAAAAAAAATATAATATTGTAAAAAAATATATAACCTAATTTAAGTTAATATAAGTTAAGTATAAAATATTTAGACACAAGTTCAAAGAAAAATAAATAATGTAAGAAAAGAAAACTCTGAGTAATAGGCTTAAAAAATTTTTTTTTTTTTAAATTAATAAAGTATAAGAAAATTATCAATAGTCAATAAGTTAGTATCACATAAAACTAGAAAGTAAAGGATAAGGCTAGTTATGCGAATGCATTGGCCTTTGATGAAGCTGCTAGCCTCTTGCTGGATTGACCACATCGTCTCTTTCGCCAGTGCATGTGCACCCAACACCCGAGCAATAGTTCTTAACACAAGATTCTGAAAGCGATAATTGAATCTTTTCTTTTCAATAAGTTAAACCAGTGATATTTTTTATTTGGACTCAAGTGTTCAGAAAGTTGTCTTCGTATTTGTGTTACCTTACTTTTTCCTAACAAGTATTACATATTCACTACTGCAAATCTGGTAAGGTGCATGAATGTATGATTATATTATGACGTTATATATTGTTATTATTATAGATAATAATATATTAAATCTAAAAAACAGTGTACTTGATCATATTTTCGAGAACCCTCTGAAGATCAAGAGGAAAGTGTAATAACTTGAATTTAATATTAGTATCTGATGCGTGATTATATTTTTCAGCACTTGTAAGTATAGGAAAATACGCCCCAGTTACATTTTTACTTACATTTATTTTTGCATTATTTCATTTTTTTCTCCAATTTTTCTCGCTTTTACATAAATAAATTTATCAACAATCTGATTAACTAGAAGATTGCAGTTTTTCCTAATTTTTTTTTTATTTTCCCCATTATAAAAATTAGTTCTGAGAATTTTTAAGTTAGATTTCATAAAAGTACAGACTAGATACAAAATTATGTTCTAAACTACCTTCATTTGTGAAAGTTGAAGCATTTTATCGACAATTTATAATATAGATATTTATCAAAAAATAACAAAAAACAAATATAATATAATACAATTAATGGTTATCATTCTGCTCAGAATTTAAAATAAATTAATCTAATAATACTTAAAGGTATTGTGTATAATATCATAAGTTTCAGAATTTCAGATTTTCAAAAGGATATAATATAGCCATGTAAGAATGAAGATATTTTTTAAATCCACTAAAACAACTGTAATGATATGCTCACAAATCATAATTTATTGTATATTTTATCATTTCGTTAAATACAGTAACGGTCAAGTTGTCGCACGCAGATAGCCCTCAATAAAAACCAAACGAGAGAGACGATCTATATTGTTTGGCCACGTGGGAACCCAAACGCTATTGCGACCATATGGCACAAAGCGTTTGACCTATTTTCGTGTGCCGCCAAAGACAAGGGATGGTCCAATGAGGCTCTCCGTCGTCGGGGACCCTGGCTGTCTTGACCACGCCGTCATCTTTAGTCAGTGCATGAGCACCAGCAAAACTATCGAGTGCATGAGCACCGACAAAATTACAAGTGCAGGCGCACCAGACAAGCGAGCAGGAGCTCTTCCCAAAACCTATCACGCACCCCACAACACAAGACTCTGCGAGCGACAGCTGGACTTCTTTCTTTTTCTAAGATAAATCAGTGTTGTTTTTCTTATTTAAATTTAAGTTTTCCTTAAATCGTATCGCAACTTGTGTTATCTTACATCTTTCTCTGAGGATCGTACTACAGGTATTCACCGCGGCGAACCAGGTAAGGTGCATGCCCTAAATACTTATTGTCAGTACGAAATCTTTTACTATTCAATTTACATACGGTGTATTTGATCATATTCTCGAATTACGATCTCGAGAACCCTTCGAAGAACAGGAGAAAGGTAATAACGCAAGAATAAGTTCATTCAATATTTATTAGTACCGGACTTAAATATAAGGTTTGTGTCCCTTGTGTCAGTCCGGCCACATCATACTCATAACTTATACCCTTTTATTTTTATTTTCTTATTTTTGTGTTATTACACAACCTAATAAGAAATCTCATATTAAAATATTCAAATTTTAATTTTTTTTTCAAAATTTCAAATGTCTATAAATAGTATTAAAAATGCCAAAATGTTTTAAAAATTATATTAAATCAAGTAAAAGTTATGAATATTTTGTGAAATTTCCAAGTTTCTATGACTATTTATTGTTGAATTGATTTTATCAAAAACTATATAGTTTTGTGTAAAATTACATTTTTCATTAATTTTTCTTGATAACTATGAAAATTATTAAGATATTTTCATTTTTGCCATCCAAAAGTACTATCTAGATTCATATTACTTCTAGGAATCATCTTAAAAGTTAAATATCTTAGCATTTTGCCTATATATACACAGAAAAAATAAAAATATGAAATTATTCAGCTTAAAATCTAAAAAATATACTATTTTTAACAAACTTGTAGATCTATTAGTTGTTATGATGAGATTTAAATTCACTGTATAGTATATAAATGATAAAAGAATCACCCTGTATAATATTATGTACACATTGTTATCGTAATTTAAAAATTTTTACTTGTTCTATTTTTAATGTACTAATCCACATAGTTTTTATATTTAGGTCATAACAAATGTATTAGTCTACATTGAATTGATAGAATCAAAACTTTAAAAATTAGCATATTTTTTTTCTATTAGAAATCTTATGGTATAATAAGAAATATATTATTCAAAGTTCCTATATATTTCATGTTATGATACGTTATAGGTACGTATAAATATCTAATTTCTACTTAAAATTCTTTTAAATAACAAACTTTAATACTTATATTTTTTATTTTTATGAATAATAATATAATAATAGATAGGTATTAAGTAACCATGTAATTTTTTGATACAGAAGAGAAGAAAAAAATGTCAGATAAAGATTAAAAGATCTTATCCGGTCAATCAAATTGTATATTATGACAATTCATAACGGTAATCCGGCGTACATATATTCTTCTATGTAACATTCGTTGGCACCTCGTTTAATTTTGACGAACCCATTTTCGCCCCAGTATGTATTGAACGAATTGGCTGCCAACCAGTATGGCGTGCCGTTTTCTTCTCCCCAGCCTATGATTTTAACCGCTTGAGTGGTAACGTATTTTCCAGAGTTATATGCGTATACACCTTGAACAGACAAAGAAAGCTTAGTTTTGAAGCAATTACAAATAATAACGGTTGTTAAAAAGTTACAGATTAGCATAACTTATATCTGTTGAGCTATGGCGTAGTGAAGTGAACCTACCAGTTACCATTCCGGATTGGTATTCAGCACAAGAGTTCTCAACCAGGGTATCGTAAAATTATTTTAAATGTAAAACAATTAAATATGTTATTCAAAAATTAAAAAAAAAAATTATTTTTTGAAAGATAGAAACTTGTGTGATTAATGTATTAACTAATTAATTTTTTTATAAAATGTATTAATATGTATTTATTATATATTTAGCAAAAGAAAACCAAAATTATAAAATATGAATACATGATAAACTACTATAGGGTGCCTCAAGATTTAAAAAAAATACCTTAAGGTGCCGTGAGCAAAAAAAGTTGGGAACTTTTAGTTTAATCATACATTTAGTTGCTTATCCTCGAATAAAATATTTGAGAATTTAAGTAGCACAAACGCCATGTACCATTTCATGTAAGAAAAAATCATATTTTTAAATACCAATCGTTGTACATTTTTAATAAACAAATAGATTACGAGTAACTCTTTAAATCTAAAGTTTGCAGACCAAAAAAAAAAAATTATGCATACCTGATTGATAGTTGACAAAGTCTTGGTACATATAAAATGACGCCGTTATCGGACCGTTTTCGTAAATTTCTTTCATCGCTTTGTATGCTGGGACACGATAATACTTTCCTATAAAATGTAATACAATATGTTATAAGTTTATTATATATTATAAATAGTTGGTAGGTGTTCTAATAAGAAGTTTCAGAATACCCACGACTCTATAACAGTGTCAATAATTTTCACCGTCATATAGTTGTGAGAGTTACACATTCCATTTTATTACATTGAGGTAGAGCTAGTAGAGGTCAACATATATGTGTATTGTAATGTTTTATTTACAAAAACTAATTTGAATGTTAAATACGAGTATTCAATGATAATATCATATAATAGTATACACTATATAATTTTCATGTAAAAAATTAAGTACCTTGATGATTGTCTTTCACGTACTTCGTCTCATAACTAGGATTATAACATTGGAAATTGCACTCTGGAGTGAAAAATGTTTTATTCGAGCATGCGTTATCAACTGCGTTTTCCGCATGTTGACATGGTTCAATCGTGTATGGTTGACATCCCTATAAAAAATAGAAAACACATACCTGCCATATAACACTGTTATATGAAAATAGATATTTGCTGTTGATATCAAAATAATATTAGGCCTGCGTTTGTTAATACTTAAATACGTTTCCTAAAAAATTGTTTGAATCGCATGCCATGGATATAATAAGCTATAAAACACACACACATTATAGAGTGTGTTTATGCTGAGAGATATGAATAAATATTTCAGTCAGATGGCCTTGTATTGAAATGGGGTTTTTGGAAAATGAAAAGAAATACTGAAATGAGAAGTATGCATTTTCAAATAAATTTCAAATTTTTAAAACTTGGTAAACAACGTGCACTTTAACTTGCTTTATTTTTTTTTAAACAGAACGTCATTTTTTTCAAGTAATATTTTTTTAAAACAAGTTTTGTATAAAAAGTTTTTTCTAAATACAAAACTGGCAAATAAAATTTAATATTTATGAATCATTTGATGACATTTTAACAGGTATATTTAAGAGGATGCCACACAGAAATTTTTTATCTCTGTCTTACAAGTGCGTAATATAGCAAATTTATGTTCAGTAGTTTAGGTTTAGCTTCGTTAATTTAAAAATTAGAGTGAATCGACCTATAACGAAACTTGATGGTAAAAACATTTTTTGTGTTTGTATGTGGGTTTTTTACGATAGTTCAATTTTTTTAGTGAGTTTTGCATATGAAAAATATAGTAAATTAAAAATGCTCATAACTCACTTAAAAAATTGAATTATCGTAAAAACCCACATACAAACACAGAAAATATTCTTATCATCAAGTTTCATTATAGGTCGATTCACTTTAATTTTTAAACTAACGAAACTAAACCTAATCTACTGAACGTAAATTTGCCATGTTACGCACTTGTAAGACAGAGATAGCAATATGTCTGTGTGGGTCCTCTTAACTCGTACGTGAAAATCGAAATAATACTTATGATATTGTTAAATAACTGATTGTACAAGATAAGACATAAATCAACACTAAATATTCATTTTCTTTATTTGTACTTCTGGAATAATGAAGTTAAATATTGTAGGTAATGAAAATAATAAAAATGTAGAGACTACGAATTTTGATTAAATTTATTTATTTCTAATTATTAGTTTTAACTACCTAATACATAAATTATTCAGAGTTTCCACTTTGATGTTACATACATGATTCTAAATAAACGTTTTAAAAATTCTATCGATGTAGTAGTGTTTATTTGATTTTCTCTCAAATTATTATATGTCATTTTTATTTTATTTTTTAAATCTTGGATGAGTAGGATGATCTATATATACCTACTGCAGTTTTTAAATGTTTCTACAAAGAAAAAAAACCAACTGATTTAAGTCTGGACGTTTCTACGGCCAATTGGTATCAATTCATTGGTTAGGGAATATTATGAAAATAAAAGTGTTTATTTTTATCTTATAAGTCTACATACGGTTATTAATAATATCGGAAATATTATATTGAATATAATTAAAATTTTGTTTAAAGCAAATTATTTGTAAACATTAAACTTCAACTTTAAATTAAAAAACTTTTAATTTGCTTAATTTTAATTTTGTTATTGGAAAAAAAAATGTTTTAAATAAAAAATGGTTTTAAAAAAAATTTTCTACTCGATTTATACCAAAATAAAATTATACTTTCACTTAAAAAAGTAAATTTTATTATGCGTATCAAAAGGGTTAAACATTTAAATTTGTCTGAAAATGTGTACTCCTTTTCATTCCCCGAATCCCTATTTCAATATAACACCATCTAACTCAAATATTTAGTGATACCTTTAGCGTGAACATACTGTACATAATTTTTATTTATTAAATAGTTTTATGTAATATTGAACTCAAAATAAAATTAAAATGTGTAATTTGCTTCTATCGATTCTAAATATGATAAAGTGAGTAGAGAAAGGTTACTTTAATTTTATTTGAATTTTAAATATAACTATTTGAAATGATTTCTATTATTTGTTTAATTTTAGTAGAATAATAGAAATTATAACGGGTAATAGTTACATGGTTAAGTACTTTGTATCCAATTCTAGGTATATTCTATAAAAATAAATGTTTATACCTCGTCCGAACCATATTCACCTCCGGATACCAATCCGTGTCTTCTATAGAAGTCCCAAGACTCGAAATGGTTGCCCCCCATGCAGCCATTTCCACACAGGTAGCAGCAGGACAATATTTGCTGTGCTGACAGTTTTGGTTTTATCGTTCCATTTGAATGGATACAAATTCGGTCGCTTACGGCTGACGCCACGGAAATAGCGTAGCTTGACTTGCAGTTACCCTGATCGTAAATATGACCAATAGACGGACATTTGTACCATTTTGCTCTAGAGTCGAACTTTTTCGGCAGGTTCAGTGGATTCCAAAAATCATTTTTCTACAGATAACACATTTTTTCAAAACATATTCATCTAGTGTGGGTGTTATTAGAATTATATCATTTTATGTGTATAACAGTCAGAAATCAACTAAGTTATATTATATTATGTTATTACTTATTATCAGAATAACATTTATTATAGTCGGCAAGTGGCCGCATCGTACCCTGGATATCACTCAGTAGTTAGTGGTTTTAATTTTACTGCAACCACGTAGTGCGCCAACCAACTGTCGTATTATGAATACGAATATCGTACAAACATTAAATATCAATTTTTTATCCTCTTTTTCTCTTGTTAACATTTCACGTATGCACATTATGTCAACATTAAAAAATAATAAGAAAAAGTCGTTTATAAAGACGAAATATTTTTAAAAAATTTTAGTAAATAATTTAATAACCACTGCCACAAAAATTCGGATGGGATCGTTGCGGTCACTCATCAATTTTCGTCACTGACTAGACTTGTAATAGGTAGGAATGTTAGTCTGACTGGAGGTAATTACAAGTATAATTTTATTTAAGATAGTGAAATAAATAAAAATAGTTAAGTTATTATTGCATACAATTACTAAATACCCATTTAGTTTTGAAAAAAATGTTTGAGTGCAATAATTTATTGAAAGAACATTTAAACCTTTTCTCATACGTGTGTGTATTACTGCTTACGCTAAATATTATTTTCAATGCATTTTAGCTAAGTATGGCATTGAGTAAAACAAATAAAATTATTTACGATTACTAATACTTGAAATGTAGAATTTATCTGTGACAGCAAAATTAAAAGTTGTTGAGTTTTGTCAATTCTATATTTTTAGATAACGCAATTTAGATTACATCAAGTGCTATGTTAACTGTTTTTGTCGAACAATCAATAATTCAAAGTTATCAAGGTTTAAGTTACTGTTACTCGGATTTAAAGTGAGAATTAATTTTTTTTACATACCTCAGAACGAGTCTTCATGGCACCAGCTGGTGCATTTACATTGTTTAAGAAATTGTTTTTGTCGTTTAAAGATGCACACCGTTCGCTGAGAACGATTATACACAGTAGTAAAATGAAAACGTTTACAACAGACATCTTATTACGAATGGAATTAAAACGAGAATGCGTTTTTTGTTGTGATTTTAAAACGTACTTCATAGTATTGATAAATAATTGTTCTGACTTCTTAAACGCCAACTTATATAGTTAATAACAGAGGTACTTGATAAAATTAGGTAAACGTTATGATATCTTTTTAGATAATTATTTGGCTTTTAATTAAGATATTATTTTGAATATTAAAACTAGGTACAATGGCAGTGAAGTTATTACATAGCTCTTCGACAAAAATCATTTTTGTTATTTTCGATAATTGTATATCCATTTAAATAGTAGTTATTTATCAAACCAGGTATCCAATATCAAAGGTTTTAGTGGAATCTATAGCAAGTTTATAATAAAAAAAAAAATAAAAGTAAGTTTTTGATGAACCATTTATTGTACGATATACAGTTATCTAAAGTAGCTTATGAATGTTTTCCTTAAAATTTTAACATATCAATTTATATAGCATAATTTATGCTGGCTATTCTAAATGTATTATGATGTATAAAATGAGTTAAACAAAAAAATCATAGTTGTTCGGTGATTCTATCATTGTATATATAAACCCAAAGTTATTATTGAATTATTTTTTTAAATGTATGATAATTTTTAAAATCAATTTCAACTATTTTACTGAAACTTATGTAATTTTTATAATATAGACTTGATATACAATTTACACGATGAATATATTATAAGATATTATTGAGTATATTCGTATTTTGTGATAGGTAGGTACTTTGAAGAATCAAAAATAATTTTCAGTACATAAAGTAATTGTATTATTTATTGGGAATAACGGGAAGTATGCAAAAATGATATTATTATTTTGAATTAATTCAAAAAAATTTACATTTTTTTTGAGCATTCGTATTTTAAATTTTGATGAAATCGGATATTACATCAAAGTATATTTACTTGTGCGATAATAGGATTTTAATTATTAGCAAATCTAAAAAAAATTTGTTCTGCGTCAACCTTTAAAAATTCATTTTTTTTTTTTGCGTAGGTATAGTATATATTTATAATTTTAACAATATGATTTTGGTATTTTAAGCTAGGATTTTTTTTTTTTTTAATTATTTTTGTTTATTTATTTTAAATATTTAAATAAAAATATAATTAGGTTTGTTTAGGACTCTGTGGGAAATTATTGTCATTATTAATATTTATAGATGATTTTGTAATTATGAAGAAAATATTGATGAAGTTTAGAATAAAATATCAATTAGGTATCAATAGTGTAGTAAAAAATTAAATAGATCATGTACAATGTGATCTAAGAACAAACGCCACTAATTTTAAATATAAACCTTGTGTAGTTTATTTAATTAATGTTATTAATTTAAGCTTAAAAATTATTAAACTATTGTGCATTAATTGTTACTATATGTAGTATAATCATAAATGCAATACCATTTTCAAATATTTTGTATAATGTAAATTCTATCAAAGAATAATTCACTTAAATATCGAATAGGTATTTTATAAAATCAATTTTTGCTTGAGTGCATAAAAAACATATTTATTTTAGAAAAGTGTCCTGAATAATTCCGTAAAACGGACAATCAACTAATAATCTAATCATTCATTGTATTCGTGTTTACATATTCATTCAAGGTACTCGCAATATATACTTGAAGGTTATTTGCTAGTTTTTCTAACATTAATCGATTTTAACGTTTTAAACATTTGTTGTTGACAATGTATATTATATATAATAGAACATCAATTCTTTAAGTCCGAATAAAATATTGTACAATAAGCATTGAGAGAAATACAACCGATATTTTACTTAGTTCAAAACATTCAGCACGAAGTATCTATATTTTACATATTATGCAAGCGTTACATGTTCGCATGAAACCGATTATGTATTTCTGTCACCTATACGGTATGGGATTTTGTCATGAAAATTTTTGGATTATTTATTTTCTATTGATATTCATTAACATAATTGCAAGTATTTATGTATACTATAAAGTTTTCATTTTTGTCCAAACGCATTTATCGATAATGTTAAACTTGTCTACAATAACATCCGTTATTCGATTGCATATCCGTTTTTTAGCGCAACCAATTATGATCGTACTGTTGAGTGTTAAAAAGACGATCATTGTAAACTACATAAGCGAATTCGATAGTCTTGTCCTCAGAATTAATAAAATTTCACTTACGCCGTACATGTTACGCTTCTTTGGATGGCTAATATCTACTTTGATCGGAGAATCCGTACAAGTTATGGCGTTCCACTATCGTACAAACTTACAATTTTTTTCGATATTTTCCACTTCTCAGTTCGTCTTCTCTAATGTTTGGATAGTCACGCCAATTTTGATGTACATTTTTCTCATCTCGTTGGTCACTCATGGTATACAAGAAATTAACAATGATATAACTTCGATCGCAGAGTGGAGAAAAAACAGTCTCAAATGGAAAGAGCTGCAATACATGGGAATTGTTCTAACAAACTCTGTGTTTGGAAAGATTATCATTATATTTATAATGTACACTATTATGGAGTTAACCTTTCTTTTTTATGCAATGTATTTAAGTTGGATGGGACATTTTTTTTATTGAAATTGTTGGATATATCATGATCTTGTTTGTTCGGGCTGGTTTGATGTTTCATCTTTTCCGAACAACCCAGAGTTGCAAGTCAAATGTAAATAGATAATTAAAGTAACGTATTGTTGTATTTGTTTGTTGGGATTAATTAATACCTTACAATTATTTGTAGTAATTATTTAGAAATTCACGTCTTTGAAGTTAAAACAGCAGTTTTATCATTTTTTTTTTAAACGCTTTGTATATGTCCAATATATCTTTGCATTGTGATTATTACTATAAAAATATTTTAGATAGAATAGATTATAATTTGTTTTTATGTTTTTAACTATAATTAGATTTTTATAATTATTAGTTAAATCATAAATAATTAATTTTAATTTCAAATAATTTATCTAATTCCTCTAATTTTTAAGAAACAGATGAAAAAAAACACAAGTACTTTTGAATAGCACTGATAAGACTACAGTTTTCGATTACAAAGAAGTATAAAAAGTTGATTTAATAATATTAAAATAGGCACTTAACTAATTTTGTTTTATTTAGTTTCAGTTCACCTCTTTGTACATGCTACATACTGATTTCAGTTTCATGCCATGTAATGTGTTTGATTTAACATACAGAAATTTAATAACTGTAAGTAATATAAAATTGTATTGATAAAATAAAAATAAATTCACTTTTTTTCTAGATATTTACCATAATTGCAGCCTACTCGATTTTTCAAATTCAAATGAAACCTAATGTTACATAATATATTTTTTAAACTTTTAATGTAATGTTAATAAATCATAATAAGAGTATCATCTTTTATTATTAATACTTCTTTTTCTATTTGAATTATTTTTCTGTTTACTCCTTCCCAAAGGAGCCTATATTAATTTGTATAATAATAAAATTATATAAATCTAATGTTATTATTATTTTTAATTTATGTTTTAGTCATAGGTAAGCATATTTCGTAAAAATATACGATTAATTTTAGTAATATTTTATTTTGAGGATAAAGAATGAATGTTTCGATAAAATATTATTAAATACTTTTTTTCTCTCTTTTGATTGTTAAAAATATACAACTACAAATTGTATATAAGAATTACATTTTAAGACTAGAAATAACAATTATAAGAATCAAAATTTAATATAATATCTCAATAAAGTTTAGAAAAATATTCTATTATAGTTTAATTACTATTCTACAAACCTATATAATATACTTGTATCATACTTGTAGGTTAGGTTAATAATAACGTTTAAATTTTTAAATAGTGAAAATTAATTAAATTGAGATTTTTGTTATCGTGTTTTTTTTTCAAAATGTATTCAGAAAAACGTTCGTAGTAATAGATACCTATAAATACTTAATATATATTTATATAATAAGTATTTATATTAAATATATTGTTTGTATATTTCTATATTTTCACTATAGTTTTTATTAAGTGAAAATATTATACAGTATACTTAATTTTATGTTTTTAAATACATTTAAAAAAAATTATTGTTATAAATTTAATTTCATCAATAATTACTAAATAGTGAGCTGTAATTTTTTTTTTTAAATTTATTAATTATTTAAACATATTAAATGTTTTTACTAAATATTATTGTAACACTAGTAACAATTTTAATTTATTATTTGAATCATTTTTTAACAGATAAATATTTTTTTTTATTTCAGAATTGTTTTTGTTATTTAAATTACATTAAGTATTTTATACAAAACGTTGCTCCAATAAAAAAATTAAAATAATTATTATTTAATTTATAGAACCTGAACGGAATGATGTATGTATTAGTTTTACAGTAATAAACACATATAATATAGTAGAATAAAATCTTCAATATTTCATTTTGAACAAGGTTTCTGGTAGAAAATTAGACTTAGTTTGTACTTTGGATGATCAGAATTCAAAATGTCCCAGTAATTTATAGGGACTGGATTATACTCGTAATTTACTAAGTACCAACTGCTTTTACTTATCTTATATAATTTTGTAGTTTAGTTTTCTAAAAAAAAATAATTTCGTTATTACTTTATTAATATTAAATATTAAGAACAAAAAAATTATATGAGCATGAAGTATACACACTCCGATTTATGTATGGAATATAATATCTAGCATATGTCCACCTCTGCTTCGCTGGCAAGCTTCAGTTCTGGCCACAAAATTGCCTATCACACGCAGAAAGAAGTACAGTGGGGTTAAGTCACATGACCTGGGAGGCCATTATGGAACGCCAAATTCGGCGTTCTTAATGAAACACCCAACGCCGGATTTAAATTGCCCAGTAATTTTCAGGTCATGTGACTTAACCCCACTAGACTTCTTTCTTTGGGGTTACGTTAAAGTTCACGTCTATCAAAATAAATCGCGAACCATTGAAGAACTTAAGGATGAAATTCGTCGTGTTATTGGTGAACTAAACCAGGATATGTGTTAGCGTGTGATAGGCAATTTTGTGGCCAGAACTGAAGCTTGCCAGCGAAGCAGAGGTGGACATATGCTAGATATTATATTCCATACATAAATCGGAGTGTGTATACTTCATGCTCATATAATTTTTTTGTTCTTAATATTTAATATTAATAAAGTTATAACGAAATTAAATTCGGCGTTCTCTTAATGAAACACCCTATATATGTATAGATGATTTAGTTAAAAATTAATAATTGTACAAGAAGTATGGCTTATGCATGTTTATTATTATTTAAAAAAAGTAGTTGATTAAATTTTAAAATATAAGAATAATAATATTATTATGATTTATACATTTTTCTTTGGACATTGATCCCATGCTATTAAATTGTATGCACATTTTGCTGGGTTTATAGTAAATTAATTTTCTTTTATTTGGTTGATTATTTTTTGAGATATTTTGTTCTCTAAATGAAAGCTTTGGATAAAAACATTAATGTATTAAATATTTTCTTATTGAATAAATGTTAGTATATTATAAAAATAATATACTACTCTATTTGTCAATAGTCAACTGCTCAATACACAAAGTGATGCTTTTGAATTGCTTTCACGATGAAGATAATATACTATAGATAACTATAAAGATAAAATATTAATGTTTTCAGCTAAATTTTGATCGCCGTTTCATTATGGAGGAAGCGCCATGCAGTATAAACTATATAATCTGTTAAGCTTTATGGTTCGTTAGCAACCAATCTGATCGAGTGCTGTAAAGTTAATTCTCATAACTGATGTGATATCAAATATTTTTTTAAGAAAACATTTTTTTTTTTTTTTTTTTTGTGTATTATTATGAATTATTAGATTTTTATATTTTTATAAATTTACATTAGTTGTTTGATTTACATCATTCTTATGCGAAATACCGCATTGTATAATAATTCAAAATGGTAACTAAATATCTTATTTATAAGTATTATTTTTAATGGAATTAATATAAAATAGTTTGTTAAGAAATACAACATATTATTATGTGGCTATACATTTTAAATCCTATGTTGATTGTTTGTTTATTTCTAGTATAATATTATTTCATGAACTATAACTCTTACATTTACATTATGAAACTGGTTTTCCAGTTGTAAAATAATCTTCAAACAAACATTCATTGGTACCACGACGAATTTTGAAAAATCCTTTGTCTCCCCAAGAAGTACCCCACGAATTCGCAGCTAACCAATATTGAACGCCTCTGTATACACCCCATCCAATGAGTTTTACCGTTATCTGACCAAGTAATTTTCCAGTTACATGTTGATAAACTCCTGAAAATGTAGAAATTAGGTAATATATTTGTAAAATTTGTTTTTATATTTTATCACAGTATCACACCTGATTTGTATGTTAGGAAATCTTCATAAACACGCATTATAGCAGTTACAGGTCCACGTTTTTTCAATTCTTTCTTGACCATTCCCGGACAGGTCCTTTCAATTCGTATTCCTAATATAAATTATAATATTTAAACGTTTACAAAACACAATTAGTTAAGATATTAATAATAATAATAATAATAATTTAATTTAAATGTTTTTTCATAAACCTACCCTTTGAAATGTCTTTTAGGAAAGGTTTTGAATAATTTAAGTTGTAGCAATTTAAACTGCATTTTGGCGTTTCTGATTTATATTTTCCACACATATATGACGGACTTTTTTCATCCAAAACTGTATGGTTACATGGTGGTATCAACCATGGTTGACAGCCCTTTAACGATGTGTTTTTATTTAGTGATTTCAATTTTTAAATTAAAATTTTTATTTTAATAATAATGGAGGTGGCATAAAAAATACTAAATATATGTAATTTTAATTGAAATTTTTCGAAAAAAAAAAGAAATAAAATAAGTAAATTTATGATATATAGTGCCGAGTTCAGATGTTATGTGAAAATTATTTCCGAGTAAAATAAATGTTTGAACTAATTTCGAAAAAAATTATGAAAAGTATTTAATATCAATTATACGTAATTCAAATTACTTCATTGCTACCGTAATCTCCACCTGTGACCAACCCTCTTTTTGTCCAATAATGCCAGGCTGCTCCAGAATAGCCACCATTGCATCCATCACCACAATCATCACAACAAGACAAAACTTTTTGTGGAGAATAAAACGCCGTTATTTTTTTCTTTGATTTAATACATATGCGGTCGTTAATAGCCGAAGTGACGGAAATCGCCTGAACATATGTTTTGAAAATACATTCACGATGTTTAAGAACGTTATAATCGAATAAATTATACACCTAATACATACCCAGTCAGCAGCGCAGTTTCCCTGGTTCCATATGTGAGAAATAGAAACGCATTCAAACCAATTATTTCGGGCGTCAAAAGTCTCTGGAATATCATTCGATCCATCCGTATCGTGATTGTCGTCTTTATGACCGATAATATCGATAATTTTATCATCTTTTTGAAAGCCCCAAGTCCCAATTATGTTTTTGTAGTTAGACGTACTGAATTGATTAATTCCAGCCTGTATGAAAAAAATTATATGATTTATTTATTAGTTGGTCTGAGATGGTTTAGTCCAATCTATATCTATGAAGAAATTATACTTATTAGTTGGTACACATTTTGTGTATACTAACGATTAGCGTTCATGAAATAAAAAAATCATGAGTTCACTTTAAAAAAAAAAAATGTATTTTTGTATACGTAGGTATATAGGTTAAACTTATAAATACTTTATATTGGATCTTACATTATTATAAAAAAAGTTAATAATATATTTATTTTACACTAATGGAAAGTTAATCAAGGATAAAATAATAGATAATGTGTCAGCATTTTTTATTTTTATTTTATCTGTTGGCTTTTGAAATATATCAAAATTATACTTACACTGAATATACATTTTAAGATGAATTCGATTTCCGACAATTTCATCATAATTATTTTTTATTAATTTTAAATTAAAGGTAATTTATTGCATTTGGAAAATAATGTGAGCGGTGGTCGTAGTTCCAAGAGTTATACATTTTTATATAAATCTAAAATTAATAAATATGCTAATCTAATAATTAGTAATTTTGAAGTTGAAATTTGTATTCAACTTTCAATTGTGACTCTTATAGTAGCTGATTTTATAAAATAGTTGTTTAGAAATATAAAATATATAAATTAAATTAATATTGCTTAATAAAATAAATTAAAAAAACTATCATCATATAATGTTGTTTATATAAGTATTTTATTAAACTTCCAATATGTTAAATTCAAAAAAAAAGGTTAGAAAATGTTTACAAACTATACTAGTATAGTTAGAAAATCTAAATTATATAACATTATAAATCTTTAAATTCTAAATCACTAAAAAAGCTGTCGTATATTTTTTGGATGAATTAATTTTTAATTTAATCTATATTTTTTTTTTATTAAGATTAATAAATTCAATATGGTTCTAAGAATAAATAAGTTATATATTTTAAGTTAAATACGTATAGTAAACAATTTACAAAGTTTCTTCAAAAAACTTATTTTTAGTAATTTTAAAGCTTTCAAAAATAATACAGTTTGTGATAAAAATTATAAACAATATAAACCATTAAGGTTTATGAAATAATAATATTACAAACATTTATTATAAACAAACATGAAATAAATAACGTTTTATCTGAATATTGATGTATCTTATATATTTTTATTTTATTTTACTTACTTCCCATGTTACGTTAGCACGGTTTACGTGTTCGACGATATGTTGAAGTTTAAATTTTGCATTGCACGACAACCAAATATTACAAAATAATAGTAATAATATTTGATTATTTCTTAACATGATGATGATTGATATTCGTAATTTTTTTCTTAAGTGAATACTAAAAAATAATTTATAGATATTTATTGTTAAATTAAGACTGATATTATAATCTTTTAAAATAACATTTAATTTTAAGTGTTATGTTCATTTTTTAAAGTAGATTTACTTATCGAAAGTTAAAATGGAATTGTTTACTTAAAATATATTGTTTAAGAGTAATTTTTTTTTTTCAAATTGTGTAAATATATAATTTTTTTTTGTATCTGTATCTATTTAGATAAAATATTATCTAATACTTCATGATAAAATATGTTTTACATACGTGACAATTTTTATACAAGAGTAATACTAAAACTATTGACATTGAGTAACATTTTGTCTAACTCGTCATTGAGTAGGTCACTTTAATGAATGTGTTGAATTTAAATTCTTTGATAATTAATTATATTTAGTGTACAATTGAAAATGATTCTTAGAAGATATGGCATATGTTGAATTATATCTCTAGGCTGATTTCTAGGGTAAATAATATAACTGTTTGAACCATTTTTTTCCAAAATCAATATTATAATAATAATATTATAAAACAGTTATTATGGTAATATAAGGATAGTTGTTATACTAATTGATCATCATAATACAGACGTGCGCACGGGTGCAGCAGAAGGTTCATGACGTGTTGCATTTGCAACATTTTTTGGGTCCAATAGATTGGTCCGCAAGCCGTAGGTGATTTACGTTTAAAGTTATAGCCGCTCAATCAAAGTCAACGTGGGCTGATTAATTCCAATTGCTGAATCTGCAGTTAAAATTTACGCAAGCTTATAATTATAAGTCAATACCAACGTAGGCAACGTAGACCAGTGTAAATTGGTTCGTAGAATAAATAATTTGAAAAAATCTGAATATTTAAAGAAAATATTAACAAAATGGTAATTTTCGTTTAAATAACCAATTTTGTTAAAATTTGAAGTTGAAATTACTATAAAAATAATTGTGTATATTATGTGTTTTTAATATTAATTTTTTGAGATTAGGAATCTTCATTTAATTTTCAAGCTTTAGCTATTAAAACTCTGAAAACATTTTTAACTATGAATGAATTTGAAAATTTTTATAATTTTGATGAATTTTATAAAAATTTTAAACTCAAATTAACTCTTTAATATAAAATTATGGTTATAATATATTATCAAATCATATAAAAATAAATATTAAAAAAGAATAAATATTTTGAAAATTCCAATATTTTTCGCAGTATATAGAAAGTGATAATTAGTATAATTGTAGAATTTCAGTGTGAAAAAAAAATAACAAAAATAGAATAAACTAAAAAGTATACAATTTCAATTACCTATAAGAAAATAGAAAACCTTAAAATGTTTTGAACATTTTATTATTTCTACTAAATGGTTTTATGAATGTTTAGTAAACATTTAAATTATTTACAGTTATTCATTTTTTAATTAAATATTGATTTTTTTTTTATTTTTGAAAGGTTTGTGAAATTTTTACCATTGACCTCATAAAGTTATAATTAGATCAATTTTATTTTTTTTAAATTTGATGACAGACAGATATATAATATATATCATTTTAAAACTAATGCAAATTTATTGCTTTGTTTAGAATTTAATAGATTTGTGATATTATTAATTTTTATCAATATGATATTTACTAGGTTATGACGTGATAGTGATCAATTTTTGAAAACTTATTTAGCTATTGTAAACGATGACTCGATAGTGTGATTTTTCAATTTTATCTAAAACAACTAATAATTTGAATTTGTACAAAAAATAAAAAAAATGTAAATTTGCTATTTATTTTTCTAATCAGCAAATTATATTCATTGAAGGGTATGACATAAGTTACTTAGTCCATAATCGTGTTTTATGATTATGAATTTATGAATAATTATGATACGCGGTTTTCATAGCTTATTATAGTGATAGTTATGATATACTTTACGTTTTATTGACTGTAGTTACCACTTACTAACTAAAATTGCATTTACTATTTTAATATTTAATATCTAAGTACTGAACATTAATAATTTATTTTCCATTGACACATTAATTCCATAAAGGCTATATTTTATTGATAACCATATACGTTTTATATTTTATAGCCTAATGTACATTTCTTACATCAAATTATTATAATGCTCCGTGTACTTATGTGTGCATTTACTATGAATTATATTTTATTGTCAATAGCGAACACCGTTTTATATATTGTATTTGAAAAAGAATTTAAAATAACAAATTATGTATTAGCTCATAGTATTTTAAATTTATTTTGTATTTTATATTTAACCATTAATTTGTCTAACGCTTGGATAGATAGGTAGAAAGGTTCGCAATTTTTATAATCTATCATTATATTAATAGTATGGGATTAGACAACTTAAAAAATAATAAAAACTAAAAAAATATCTTATACATTCTATCTTCACCAGTATTAAATCATAATAATAGGACCACATATTAAACTCAGTAGTTTGGTAGATTATGGTGTATTATGGTGTATTATAGGCTTATCAATTCAACGGTGTAGCAAATTTAAACTCGTACGTAATCCTCTACATTAAATCGAGGACCTTAAGCACTTCCGCATATAATAAGAATAATAAGTGTTAGGTAAACGAAATTATATTTAAAAATATACATTTGAATAAATAGTATATTATGTGTATAGTTAACTATACAAAACTATAAAAAATAATATACTTACTAAAATAACAAATATATAACAAACAATTCATTGCGTTGTAGTATAATAACTTAAATTGTTATATTTTTTTATAATTGGTTTATAGACATAATATACGTAAACAGTATATTTTATAAATATTTGTATATATCGATGTATAAGAAATACAATTGTTTAAATATTTCTGAAACAAGTTTGAAAATTTATTTTACTTTCAAAACATGATGTTTTAGATTAACGGTGAAATTTGCTACAGTAGTCATGCTTGGGTTAATCTATTTAAATTCGGAAATGTATTTATTTATTTTTTTGAAATTCCAAGATATTACAACCTACTTGTATTGTGTAGTTAATGATTAATTAATATTTTAAACTATATTAAATGTAGTTATTCAATTATCATACTTTGAACTCAACTCAAGTTTTTTTTTTTAATAGTATTAAATATTATACCGTTGATGTATTATACAATAATCTTGTAATTTGGAAAACAATTTTTAAATAACTGTATTAAAAGTTTTTTAATATCTATAGGATCATTAAAAAATAACACAAATAGTTTGGTATATAAAAACATAGTAAAAATGTTCAATGGTACTTAAAAAAAAATGTAAACCATGGATCTTTGAAGTGATAGGTTTTATTTTTTAATTTTAATATCATGCCATACACATGTCAAACATTTTAAATACATTATTCAAAGTAGGTATTAATGATAAACACTTGAATGATGCTTGCTTATAATTATTTTATGATACCGTGAACAATTCATCATAATGGCAATCCGGCGAACATTTTTTCTTGAAAAAAGCATCCGTCATTACCTCTTGAAATCTTGAACGTTCCGTTATCACCCCAATCTGAACCAAACGAATTGGCTACTAACCAATAAGGGACACCATTTTCTTCACCCCAGCCGAAAACCTTTACGCTTTGTACAGTGAAGAAGGGCACGTCTGATTGCTCGTCGTACTTATATACACCTTTAAAATTTAAAAAAAGTATATTGTCATTGTGTAACCACTATAAAAATATGTAATTTTCACATACCGGATTTGTAATCGACCAAATCATCGTACATGAAGAACTGGGTTGTTATCGGACCGTTATCGAAAATTTCTTTCATAGCCATGTAAGGATACACTTGATAATATTTACCTATATTTATATGGACAATAATAGTGAAGTTTTAGAAATATAGTTGAAACATTAATAATATTAATGACAAGATATTACATAGATTGCAATGATATGGAACGGATTTAAACTATTTATTGTATTATTATATTATTATTGTTATATAAATTAGTTAGAAATGATAAATTTGTGCATATGATGGACTATTAGAGTAGAATTGGATTAACCACCTATATTTTTTTATAACTGTTTAAAAAATGTAATAGTTTTGATTGTAAATACGCATGAAAAAATAACATATTACTTAAAATGTATTGAATATAGAAACAATCTCGAGCAGTTTGAAATGTAAATCCTATATATTTCAGAAGTTTGGTAGTTCATACAATGAAAATTTTGTATTTTGAATTAATTATACATTTTAGTATAGTTAATTTAAAGAACAAATTTTTAAACTTTATGATTCAAATAAGTATAGTACGCAATTAAATCATGTATAATAAATTAAATCATCATTTTCTTTAAAACATATCTAATATACGATTTTAGGCGAGGTAAAAATAACGTGAAACTTTAGAACATAGCTATGAAAATCATACAAACTAAATTATACACAATTATATATTTTATAACATTATTATAGTATTATATACCTTTATAAATATCGGTTTTGAACGAAGTGTAATAATTTGGGTTATAACACTGCATTTCACATTTCGGTGTTTCCTCTGTTCGATATGTCTTACAACTATGTCCAGATGGTTCTTCATTTGTTAGTTTACAAGGTGGCATCTTATACGGTTGACATCCCTAAAAAGTAAAATCAAAATATTTAATGATATTGTTATTTTTGAATAAATACAAGTATGAAAAAAAGATATTTATTTTTAAGTTGGATCAAAAACTGATTGAAGTCCAATAGATTCCAGAATTAGATTTGGTACTTAATTTAGTTAAAATTATATAATTATATATATATATATATATGAGATATTTATTGATACAATTATAGGTACCTGGCTGGAGTTGTAATCGCCACCTGATACAAACCCATGTCTTCTGTAAAAGTCCCAAGACTCAAATTGTGATCCACCATTACATCCATATCCACACAAATAGCAACAAGAAATAATCTGCTGTGCAGACATTATAGGATTTTTTGTGCCATTTGAATGTATACATAATCTGTCAGTTACTGCAGACGCTACAGATATGGCATAACTTGAATGGCAGTTTCCTTGATTATAAATATGACCGATCGATGGACATTTTGGCCATTTTTTTCTTGAATCGAAATTTCTTGGCAAACCATTCGTATAATAAACACTATTACTATCTCCGTATGAATTCAAATTTGTATTACCTTTATTGTTAAGTGCTGGTTCTGAAATAAGCTACTCAAAGTGTACATCGTTATTGTAAATGCTTTTAATAACATTTTTTAAATATGTTTAAATTAATTACGAACCTTAAAATAATCGTTTTCATTATATTGGTAGTTTGTTTTGATATCCCGCCCGGTGACATATGTTACAAAAACCAAAATTAATAAAAATTTAAAAATCATTTTTTTTTTTAAATTTAAATAACATACAAAAGTTAAAATTTAAAGTTATAACGCTACGTTTACAAACTATTCAGGAATAGCTGCAGTCACGTCTGATTTAAGTTTCAAGAGTGGCTCTATAAATAATAAATAAAAGATTGCATAGTACTTAAAAAGCATTTAAGCTGCTTATTAAACTATTAAAATGGGTATTATAACACAAAACTTATTGATTACCTGAATACATATTATTATCATATTAAAATTATCGACATTATTTTTACTATCTAATTTTGAATATTTAAATTTTAAACAATATTATTAGTTTACTCATTTTTAATTTTAAATTATACCATTATAGAATGTTTTCTTTTTATTATTGTATGTGTTCTAAAAAAAAAAAATAAATACTTCAAATAATATGAGTACAAGTGTGTAAACATTTATTACAAACGAATTATTTGAATAAGTTTTTATTATTTGTATATTATAATCTATTGTAATATTGCTTATATTAATATGTTCCATTTAATAAAAGTTATTGAAATATAAATATTTTAAACATTAAACAATTTTAACGATGTGTTTAGAACTGTGAAGCTAGTATTGACAATTTGTTTTAGTTGATAGTACACAGTAAATTATAACAGTAAATAATTAAGTACTTATACGAAATTCGCATTTTTTAAATTGTTAGTTAAATTTTATTGCCTTATGTATAGGTTGATATATATAAAACGCGTAGTATGGCTAAATAAAAAAAATTAATCTATTTTTTCAAAAAAACAATAATTTTAAATGTATAGTAAATAATTTTCAAATATATAAGTAATAAATAAATGTATATCTAGTAAATTTAAAAAGAAATTATAAATAATGTGCATGTTGTATGTCTAAAAAAATGTTCGTTTCCTATTTAACCGTCTTTTCGGTTATCCGTCAAGGCTCCGGTCTTAAGACTGATGGGGTTAATTGAGGTTCTTCTATATATAACATTAATGTGTATTATAATAACCGAGATTTCAGTAGTTTCACTAACTCCGTTTATTCCAATTACGTCAGCTGCAGTTAGAATTACTTTTTATGCAGTCTGTTATGTTAAGTACATAACGCTATAAATTTATCTATTCCCATGAATGGTTTTTAATTGTTTTGTACTGAATTAACAAATGTTAACCCTTCATTATATTATGTTATTATAACTCATGAGTATTACCTACCATTAAGATAATGTTAAAATTCAAGATGTTGAGCTGTATAATGTATAGTAAATTTCAAATGTAGGTACTTCGTCAATGATTGGTCACTGTAATGGATGAATTAATATTACATAATAAATCATCGTATACAATGAAAAATTCAAATCTTTATTTTAAAAGATATTTTATTATATTAAGTTATTTATTTTTCTTTTACAACAAGATGGGTTGATTTAATTCTAGCTAAAAAAAATATAAGCTATTCTATTATGTTAAAAACTAATTGTGATAACTTATAATGTATTTTTTTTCCTATTTTTGATTACCTACAACTTAAACAGCTAATTAGTTTTAATTTATTTATTTTTCAACGCTAAATTAAATTAAAATTTTTCACTTATTATATTTGTAATACATGTAAATTGAAGTAAAATATTATTAGAATTCCAGTCCGGTTTCTCCGAGGAAGGGAATGGGGTCGTTTAAGATATCTGGGCCTATGGTTTCATTAAATTTCAGTTGATGTTGTGCTTGAGTTTTGTTTCTTTGCAAGGTCAGCTACTTGTGAAAATAAGTTTGACTGTTATTACCACACTAGATCATGTTATTGAGTCTTCCAATATCCAATATTTTTTAGGTTAATTTCATTTGAATTTGAAAAATCAGGAATGCTGCAATTAATGTGATAATCTGAAAAAAAAAACAAATATATTTAAATTCAAGTAATCATTATATTTAAATTGTAATATACTGATTTCAGACTTCTGTAATTCATTTCGAAAATATTGCATGGCATGAAATTTAAATCTGCGTGTAACATATATAAATACGCATATTTTATCTGAAAATAATAAGTAAGTTTTTAATTAAAAATTAAAATATATAGTTATTTATCTATAAATTTAATGTGTTCTGTTATTATAATAGTATCAATAACTAATTAAAATACATTTTTTTCTTATACTAGTTCAGAGTTTTACTTATAAATAATATCATATAATTTAACGATTGAAGGTAAGTTACTATAGACTTTATACCATTTAATTTAAATTATTGCATGTTGTCATTAATGATCTTAAATAAAAAATATGAATACAAAAGGCAATGATTATAAATACTTACAGGTAATTATTTTAATAATTTAAAACGATGGAAATATCAAGATTTTAAATTCACTTTGATATTAAATATTAAAAAAAGTTAATTGATGAAAACATTATAAATTATTTTTTAAATCTTTTTTATATTATTAATTTGATAATTTGAAATACTTTTCAAAATGTTTAAAATATTAGACATACTAATGTAATATAATAAACGTTACAACTTACGACTTTCGTAAACTACAAATGTTATTCGATTGGTCAAATCTAAACTGATAGTTCTTATGAATAAAATACATCAGTGAACTGTTCAATACTAATTAAAAAAAAAGTTACTTTGGTTCAGATTATGAAGTTATTACAATAGTACATACAATAATTTAATTTAACTATCAATGGGCAGGCATGATCCATAGCGAACAGCTCGCGGGATGTCTGGACCAAATTTTAAATTCCTTATTATTTGTGAATACATATAATTTAAAACCTAAGGATAAAGGGGCTCGCACAAAAAAACGTGTTAATTAAATAATTTAAAATTTAATCGGTTCTTACTTTAATATACTATCTTACTTCGTATTTATCTACCTGTTTGTCATGTGAATTGAGGTTAATGCTGATTGAATTCAAGACCTTTTGTGTTCTCTGTAGCTAATAATTAGATAAAATAAATAAATGATTTTAATTGAAGAAAAATATTATTTATAATTTAAATTATGAAAAATAGTAACAATTTCTGAAATAAAAACATGTATTCAGTTCTTAAAGAGCGGACGAAAAAAAAAAGAATATTCGGGCATAAAATATAATTAGAAATAAAAGCATATTGATCATGGTTAACAATAAATGTCGAATAAAATGTATTTAAATTATTATTTAAAAAACTTTTTGGTTGAAATTGATTATCATCTTCTAAGATTATAATATACTTAAAATTATATTATTTGTTTTAAAAATAGTAGAAGTATTTTTTGAATTACTGTAGAAAGTAATTTTGATCGACAAAACATGATATCATGCGAATCAAATTATTTTAACCATTCAAAAGTTTTCTGTGTAAGTAATAGGATCACGGGTCACATCACATTATTTAAAAATTTTAATGGTTATTGTTTTTGAATTGTAACTACAAATCGGGATCAAGACGTCTTTACAGAAAATTATTGTTTTATGCGTAGGATAACGCGTTTTTTTTTTACGTATTTTTGGATTTCGAAAGAATGATTTTCTGAACGCGTTATAATATGCATTTGAAAAAACCACGATACGTGAAAAATTTGGTCAGCTTACGTCTCGTTTACAAAAAAAAAAAAAAAAAACGCAAACAAGAAAATATGTTTTAAACTCATCCCTCAGCACTCAACTCACACCGCGTTACCGGGTGACCCGAGATCTTACGACGGTTTCGAGTCCGCATCATTATTAAGGTATATATTTAGGTATTTCGGAAAAACTATTAACACGCCGGCGTCGCCGAACGGCGCATGCCCACCTCTAGTTTGCAGTTTTTCGTCTTGCGGATGATCTCGAACATCCAGGAGACGCTGAACACCGCGTTGACGGAGTAAACGGATATCCGCAACGCGTCGAACTTGTACGTCTTGATGCCGGACAGGTACAGCGAGAACACGAAGAACACGATTTCGGCGATCGTGCGCACGACAAACACGACGATGGCGACGCCGAACAGGTCGCGGGCCAGCCGGACGGCCGCCCGCCTGAGGTCGTCCCACCGGCCGCGGTACGCCCGCCAGTCGGCCACGGTGACGAGCCGGCCGTTGATGTCCCGGACGGCCGCCCGGACCGTGTCCAACAGGAACGCGTACATCAGCAGCGGCACCCTGGTCCACACGTTGTACGGATATCATGGCGTACTCGGCGACCGCGAAGTAAGCGAAACCGGTGTCCAAGTGGAACATGAACACGGCGAACTCGACGAGCGTGGACGCGCACAGGCACGCGCGAGTAGCGCGCGGACGGCGCGAGCGGCGCGGCCGCGGCCTCCCGCCATGCCCGTCCAGCGCGGACATGACGTCCGACAGCGACCGCCTGTTGCACCGCCACGCGATCAGCATCACCGGCGGTCAGCAGTACGTGTACACCTTGGCCACGCTCATCACCGTGGTGATGTCCCATATGTGCGGCATCCGCTGCTGCACCAGCGACGTCACGTGATCGGAGCCGTACGCGCAGTACGACAGGTTGGCCAGGAAGATGAGCGCGTCCGCGGCCGCGGCCGCCGGCCGTCCGGCTGGAGCCCCATACCGAACAGCCGGTAGACGTTCATCGCCGAGTTCAGGCGCGCGCGCAACGTTGCCGTGTTTGCGCCGTTTGTCCTGTGAACGTCGTCGAAGTCGTCGTCGTGTCGCGATCGCGACATAAATAAATCATGTCGGTCGGTCGGTCTTACGAAATCGCGACGCAGACGACCGTATTTTGGGGGAGGGGGCGTTCTTCTGGCATTTGTCTTGCAGTGTTTTTTTTTTATTTTTATTTTTTTTTATTTTAAATAATGTAGTTATTTGCGGGTCGAACCGATTGCGGGTGTACTGCTGTGGTTTACGCGTTCGATGTCCGCGGCGGTTGGGGCGATGCTCGGAGAATTTTTTTTTTTCTGCACGATCGATGCGCGACAGAATAATAATTGCAGTAGTTGACAATAATTGGGTTGATGTCGTCGGTAAAAAATCGATAGGGGGATGTAAAATTGTTGTGAGCCGAACTCGGTATAGAAAATCCAATAGAATAAAGTGAAAAAAAGTGTCAATAATAGCGTTTTTATGAATCAAGTTCCGAGAAAGGTAGTCGTAACAAAATATTCATAATGTTTTCCGTATTTATACATAATGTTTATTTATATTTTTTCGGTTAGATTCGCGTCACGGTCGACGGAGCTAAATACATTCTTCATGACCAATTGAAGGTTTTTAATACTTTTGACGTTTTATATTTACTATTTAGTGCTTGAAAAAACGAAAATACTTCAACTGAAAGTCCTAAATATTTCAAATTTTCAACCGATCATTTTTTAAGTAACTTTATTTTCGTTGACAACAACTTTAGTTTATTTTTTGCGCTACGATTTTTGCAACGTCAAGTTTACTGTAAAGTAAGCAGAGAATGTTTTGTTTTAAATTTCATATGAATCAGCTATACGTGTAGGTAACTTTTTGATTGAAGCTCTGGATCGAATAATCGAAAGAAAAAATTAAAGATTAAAATTTGAAATATCTCGTAATTTGGCATATTTTATTTTATGTATTTTTATCATATTTTTTAAATTTACATCGTAACTCCATTTAGTTAAATAAAATAAATATTTTTCAATACTTAAATTAAACAAAATACTATAAACGCTTCTACCAATTAATAAGCTAATCGATCTTTATTAATATTTTATTTTTTTGTTGCATTTTTTCTTCGCTATAATATCAATCACTGAAACCTTATTATTCATACGTAAATTCTACTAATTCAATTTTTTAACCGGTTTTTTGTCACTTATTATTGCTTACGAAGAGTAGTTTTATTATAAATAATCAAAACTATTGTCAGTATGTTCGACTGTCAATCGTCATGCAAATAAAACAGTAATACTTTGAGAAATACGTCAAATTTATAATAAAATTACAGATAAAACAAATCCACTGTCCACATTTTAGAATCCACAAAATAAAATTGGTCTTTCGAATAATCGGCTATATTCATGTATAGCAGCTTAAATTTAAAATCCCTGCATAGAAATCACAGTATCAAATTTAAAGTATATTTAAAATAATTACACGCATGAAAATACTCAAATTAAATAACCAGAAATTAATCCAGTCATATGATGAAAAACCAGTAAAATTGTCCAAAGAAGAAGAATTATTTAACATATTATTGACGCATCAAATGCTATATGAAAATGAAAAATTTTTACTCGTAGGTTCTTAAGCTATGTTAGCCAATACGTGACTGAAGTATTATTGAATTATAAGTGGTCGAAATACTGCTAGACATAATATATTTTATAAATGCATTAATTGTTTTAGAATTTGATCTATTTTAGTAGAACCCATAATGGCTAATTTTCTGGTTCAACGCTTAAAAATATATCGAGTCTTTAAAAAAATGCAGTCTATATTTTCCTGTTCAATAACCATCAAGCTCAGTTAAAGAAAAAAGTCGGCAGTAAATAAAGGCAAATAAAGAATATGTTTGTGTGTATATATAATATAATAATAATACCACTAATTTCGTCGGGAAAAATAAAAACTTTTAGAACTTAAATGTTTGTTTCATCAGCGACTCATTTGAACACATTGTATAATGTGTAGAGTAAGAGGCTATTAATTGGAATTTTATTCCACCACGATCGTCTCATTTTGATGGGCTATACGAGGCTTCCATAAAATCTTAAAAACACATCTATTAGGTAAATATTATTTTACATATTATGAAGAATTAAATACCATTTTAATAAAAATATAAGCTGTTCTAAATTCTCGTCTACTCACTCCTTTATCCTAAGATCGTCTGGACGTGACCTCATTAATACCAGCACGTTTTCTTATTGGTAAACTTACCTATTCATTAATCAAACCTGACTTGTCTTCTGTATGATAATTACTTAAAACAATGGCAGCGTATTACTCGACTTACGCTATGTCTTTGGAAACGTTGGAATGATTAATATTAATCCCAATTTCAAACCAGTAAAAAAATGATTTTCAAATAAAGGCCCAGTTTTAAGTGTTGATACTTTACTGCTAATTAAAAAAGATAATGTTTTTCTATTGACTTTGTCTCTAGGTTGCATAGTACAATATGTGCAGGCTAAAGTTGACGGTGTATTTTTTGTAGCAACTGTTTTAAGCTGCAGTAAAGAAATTAAAAGGTTAGTTTGTAAACTATGTACCCTTCTATTTAAATGTAACCTTCAGAAATGAAACATATTATGTTTATAATCTTAATTTTTTAAAAAAAACAGTAATAATATTAATATTTCGTCTTTATTCATTAATTTTATTTTGAATTAACATTTTTTTTTTTTTTTTACCTTATCGCAATTTTTTTTTTTATAATTTATGTCATAAGTATATTTTGATTTTTATATATGTTAGAAGGTTATGATGAAGATTATTTTTAATATTTCAATGCAGGTGGCATGTAATGCGTATATTTTATCAATTGTTTTTGTTAACCAGATTTTTGTCGTTAATTATTGTCGCTTGTGAAGAGCAGTTGTATCAATTTTTAATCCAAACCATTGTTAGTTTGAGTTTGACTGCCAATCGCCGTGTAAACAAAGAGTAATACTTTAAGTTATACCTCAAATTTATATTATTGCAAAATAAAACAAATCCACTGACCACTATCTATTTAAAATTCATTAAATTACACTTATTAATATACACCAAAAATTACTTATTAGTCCTAACTGATCTATCATTTATCATTAATTTTATTCCTCTATAAAATATGAAATATTCATAGAACAATTATTCTAGAAGAATTTTATACAAAAAAAGTATATTTGATATTATATATAACATAGTTAAATTTTATAATTATCATATTAATATTATTACGTGTGTAATAATTATTCTTAGTTAAAGTAATAGACAATAATAAATTTCAAAATAATTTAATTTAATAGAAAATACAAAATGTAAAATTTTTTGGACAGCTATTATATTATGTTTTATAGCAACATAATATTTATACATGTATAAAATGTATATAATAATGGAAAAAAAAATCATTTTTTTTAAATATTTTACAATGAATTATATATAAATAGGTATATGTCGACTTATTTAATACGTAGAATAGTTTAACCAATTTTAAAAAATATTATAGACTTTTAGTAATAGTACGATATTTAAATGTAAATACGGTTAAACTGATGTTTAAAAATGGAGCGTAGACATGCACTGCTTGTGGATAAAATATAAAACATAATACCTACAGGTTTTATTTTTATTAAATCGTTAACTTGTAAATTTCTAAAATATTTACAATTAAATTGTTAAAGCTAAGTCTAAAATAAAATAAAATATAAACATAATATTTTATTTTATTATTAAATTTAAAGGAAGTGAATGTGTTCTATGAGCGCTCCTATGACGCCTTTGAGTAACGATAAAATCAATAACATGGACTCCAGTTTGAGTTACAATGTAGGTTAACTCTCGTGTTATTTACATTATTTCTAACATATGATATTTTAATTTGTTTATCAATCGAAATAGTAATGTAAACGTTTAAGTTATTATTATAGTATAGTAGAGTGGTCAATAAAATATAGTTGGAGATGAGTGTGTACAGTAGTGGTAAATATTTATTTATAAAAAACGTGTGATATTTGTATAGTATGATATTAAAAATATTTATTTTTATGTTCAGAGGAGCTTCTGGATGCTGGAATTATTTATCGCAATAAAAAAGAACAACTAGATGTGACTATAGGCGATGGAATGGAGTTACTCATACGCGGAGAAAAAAATAAGAAAAAAAAGCCACCGGCGAGTAGTTCGTATAATTCGTTTGGAATGCATCAAAGCAGTACTGACGAGAACTATTACCTAAAAGATAAATATGAATACGACACAAGAAGGTAATATTCTATTTTTTTATACAAATTTAACATTTTTCGGAATAATTAATGAAAAAATATTTATAAAATAAGTTTCATTTCTATAACATAGTATTACGAAGTAATACTTTTTTTTTTAATTTTGTTCAAATCTACCTTGTTTTTTTTTTTTTTTTTAGGTTGTAAATCATTATTATTTAATAATCGTCATTATATAATAATTTAATCTCAGTTTATATCTATTTAAA